TGCTGGCTCAGCATTCAACCCAATGTGCATGCCAGATGAAAGGGCAGCCCCCCAAAACCCCTGCAAAGCCAAAAGAGTGCCCCTAATGCAATACTGCCTCATTTGATTAACCCACCACTCTTAACCTGTCCCTTCCTTCCCAGACTAGCTGCCAATTAAACCAAGCAAAACCGAACGCTTCCACACAGAGTCCTTCCAGCAGCATGCAGCAGGCTCTGGTCCTACCTATTGCTGGCCTCCCTGAATGTGACAGCAATTCCATCTTGCCTCTAAAGCAAGAAATAAATAATGAAAATGGAGGCCACCATAGGTTGTGGTGCCATCTAGCGATCAACCTGATGTTTCACACGGTACAGGGACAGAATGTTCACGCATTCTGAAATCTGAAAGAGAAGATGTTTCAGGGCATCTGGGGATTCCAACCTCTCTCTATTAAAAGGGAAGATCTGATCCTGATTTTTGCTGCTGGTGGTCGTCTTTTGCTAGCATATTGGAATTTGGAAAAAATGAATACATACAAGTCCCCTGCTTGTTAGCCGCACTGAGCACGACCTTGGCTGGGGAGGGCGGGGTATAAATAATAATAATATTAAATAATAATAATAATAATAATAATAATAATAAAATAATTAATTAATTATCATCATCATCATTATTATTATTTTAAAAAAACAAAAACCAGTCTAAGGAGACAAACTTAACTGTCCCCCTGACACTTTCCTTTGTTTAGTATTTAGCTTAGCATAGTAAAATTGCTCCCATGCCCATACAAAAAAAGAAAAGAAAAAAAAGGTGTTATGCATTTTAGGGGTCTCAATTAGTGCTGGAAATTGAAATGTGGGGTGGTGGTGTTGAAGTGTGGGAGGAACACAAAAGAAACTCACAGAGAACAGGTTCCATGCTGAAGCTAAGCTTTAATGAAAGGAGGCGGCGCCTTGTCCGGGCTCTCCTATTAATAGCAACAATATTTAGAGCGGCCACTTCCTAGCCCTCCACCAAGAGAGGATCCTCCACCACAGGCAGTGTATCCTCCCACTCGAAGTGGCTCACAGCTGGCAGCAAGGACTGGTCCTGGGATGACCAAATTACAGGGAGGTGGCTGGATGACTACTTCACTTGGTGGCAGCTGACCGACGCAGCCAACGTTGCCTCCAGAGGTCAGGCCAAGGCTACTCGATGACACTCCTCCACCATAGGACGCCAAGCCCCCTGAGATGCCACCACCGCAAGGGGAGCACAGTGAGCCCAGACCCCCGACCGGGTAGCTGACGCAGGATGGGGCACAGGATGGGATGCAGCAGGGCTGGCAGGATGAGACGAAGCCACAAGACATCTTGGAGGGATGGAGCTGGGTCTGAAAGGACAGGTTGCGGTTTTGAGGATGGGTAAAACATCCACCCTCTTCATTCATGATTCATTCATTCCGTTTTGAGAAATAGTATCAGCAGCCTGCTTTGTAAACCTCTTTCAGTCGTCCCCCCAACCCTCTTACAATCAGCAGTTTATCATTTATTTTAAGAATAACCAATAAATAATGATCACCAACACCAGCAGGGTCTGGGTGATATAGAGTGAAAAGATGAAAATATTAAGACATAATAAGCAATCCAATTAAAAACCTATCGTCAATGAAACCAAACCAGCAATACTGGAACAGTGGCGTCCTTCTTAGTAGTGGTGTCCCTGGGGTGACAAATGGAGTGATCTTGTGGGGCAGCTTCCATTACTGGAATGCCAGCCCCACTGAGCTGGGTCTGCCTGCCTTATTATTAACTTTGAGGAAGGATCTAAAACCATTCCTGTCTGCCCAGGCATTTGGTGTCTGAGAAATCTATTCCAGGCAACCCTGAAATCAATACTTGGGTGCATGTGATTTTTTGATTTTTTTTTAAGACTTTAGCTACATTTCTGGGTCTTCTCTCTTTTCACCATTAGCCCTCCCTCACAACTACTGCTGCCAATGTACAATATTGAGATGATGACACTCACCTAACTTACATGGTTGTTGCAAGCACACAACTCTGAGAAACATAGAAAGAATGAGTAGATCACATGCCTTTCTACCTCAAGGCCCCTGGTTCACTCCTTGGTCTCTCACGGAAAGCAGGAAAAGAGCCCTGTTCAAAACCCTGGAGAGCTACAACCAGTCTGTGTAGACCAGGAATGAAGGAACATCTGAGACCTTCCAGATGCTGATGAAGTCCCACATCCATCAGCTCTGGGTGGCAAGGCCAAGGATGATGGGAGCTGTAGACCAGCGATTCCTGAAGAACCAAAGATGTTCCCTAGCCATGGCATAGACAATTGTGAACTTGACCCCATGGAAAAAGCATCTTCCTCAAAAGCTAACTCTCTAACGTTGAATCAAGATGCCAACCATGATCAGAAAGCAGAAGCAGGTCTAGGTTCAAAGAAAGAGATGGAGAGCATGCAGTTCATATAGAAGAGGCAATGAAAGTGTGAAATTCTCTCACCTACCAAGTTCTCAGTGAAATATTCAGTTGGAGCTGAGAGGAGCTGATGGAAGAATCACGACTCAAAGGTCCTTTTATACGGTGCAAGGAGAGCAAGTCCCTCCCTTGAAGCCTAAAATGTCTACAGGTGTTCTGCCTAACAAAGTGCCTACTAATTAATCCAACCTGTTTTTATGTAGCCTTTCCTTACCAGACCTGTGTTTATTATTTTCAAATTGTACAGTGCCAATCCTCTTTCATCATCTAGCTGTTAATACCTGTGATTATTTAGTGCACTTTAAAAAATTGTTATTTTCCTCCTTTTCATAGACACAGGATTTTTTTCCAGCTGGAATCTGCCAGAACTCAGTTCTGGCAACCCTCTGGTGGACCCCATTGCCAATATTAGGTAAAAGGTAAAGGACCTTTGGATGGTTAAGTACTGTCAAAGGAGACTATGGGGTTGTGGCGCTCATCTCGCTTTCAGGCCAAGGGAGCCGGCGTTTGTCCGCAGACAGTTTTCTGGGTCATGTGGCCAGCAGGACTACTAAATTGCTACTGGCGCACGGAGGACCATGATGAGTGCCAGAGCGCACAGATACGCCGTTTACCTTCCCGCCGGAGCGGTACCTATTTATCTACTTGCGCTAGTGTGCTTTAGAACTGCTAGGTTGGCAGGAGCTGGGACAGAGCAATGGAAGCTCACCCCGTCATGGGGATTTGAACCACCAACCTTCTGATCAGCAAGCCCAAGAGGCTCAGTGGTTTAGACCACAGTGCCACCCGCGCCCCTTGCCAATATAAGAGAACTTGGGAGGCATTTGTGGTGAGTTCCAGCACCTCTTTTTCTAGGAAAATAGCACTGCATACGCCTGTCAAGACTGCAAGCCCCCTTCAACTGCATCCTCGAGATGTTTGTACACTCCATTTTCTCATTCTGGGACAGTTTCCTCTGTTTTACAGAATTCCTTTTAAACTTTCTTCAAAATTCCTACAGATGTCAACATTAAACAACGCCTTCCACATTCAATTCAAAGGACAAGCATGGTGCTGCAGGGTTCTGTCCTGGGCCCATTGTTTTTCAGTGTCTTTATAAATGACTGGGATGATGGAATTTGCAGATGACACCAAACTGGGAGGGAAACTAATGCTGCAGAAGATGGAACTGAGATTCAAGATGACTTTAACAGATAGGAGAACCTAGTGGATCACAAGCTTAACACCATGGGTAGGCAAACTAAGGCCTGGGGGCCGCATCCGGCCCAATCGCCTTCTAAATCCAGCCTGCGGACTGTCCGGGAATCAGCGTGTTTTTACATGAGTAGAATGTGTCCTTTTATTTGAAATGCATCTCTGGGTTATTTGTGGGGCCTGCCTGGTGTTTTTACATGAGCAGAATGTGTGCTTTTATTTAAAATACCAACTCTGGGTTATTTGTGGGGCACAGGAATTCGTTCATATATTTTTTTCAAAATATAATCCGGCCCCCCACAAGGTCTGAGGGACAGTGGACTGGCCCCCTGCTAAAAAAGTTTGCTGACCCCAGCACACAAATCTATGGTGTTATACAAAAACAGCTATTGCTATCAACAGAAGTATAGTGGCCAGATCAAGGGAAATAATAGTCCCAGTCTATTCTGCCTTGGTTAGACCCCACCTGGAATACTGTGTCCCACAGAATACTGGGTGCCACCATTTAAGAAGGATATTGACAAGAAAATGCAAGATACAGAAAAAAGAATAACAAAACCCTTATTAAGATATAACATGTGTAATTGATGTTTTTGTGTAATTCTTGTATTTTTTTGAAATTTTAATAAATATCATTTTTTTTTAAAAAAAGGATATTGACAAGCTGGGAGGTGTGCAGAGGAGGGCGACCAAGATGGTCAAGGTCTGGAAACTAAGCCTTAGGAGGAATGTTTTGAGGGAGTTGGGTATGTTTATCCTGGAAAACAGACTAAGAGTAGATATGGTAAAGGTAAAGGGACCCCTGACCATTAGGTCCAGTCATCCCCAACTCTGAGGTTGCGGCGCTCATCTCACTTTATTGGCCGAGGGAGCCGGCGTACAGCTTCCTTCTGATCGGCAAGTCCTAGGCTCTGTGGTTTAGCCCACAGCGCCACCCGCGTCCCTAGTAGATATGGTAGCCATCTTCAAATATCTCAAGGGCTGTCACATGGAAGATGGAGCAAGCTTGTCTTCTCCTGTTCCAGAGGGTAGGGCTTGAACCAATGGCTTCAAGTTACAAGAAAGGTGATTCCAACCGAACATCAGGAAGAACTTCCTTTATTGAAGATTTTCTTGGAAGAACTTTCTGATGGAAAGAGCTGTTCAACTGTGGAACAGTCTCCTTCGGGAGGCTGTAGTCTCCTCTTCCTTGGAGGTTTTTAAGCAGAGCTTAAAAGCATTGTTATAGGTGCTTCAGCTGAGATTCCTGCATCACAAGGGATTGGACCACACGACCTTTGGACCTTCCAATTCTAGGATTCTTCGATTCTAGAATTTATGGTCATGGAAGCTTGCAGAAACTTTTAAAAAGAAAAAGAAAATAACAGGGGAAGAGAGATTCTGCCAAACTTTAGATTCATTCTCTAAATCAATGATGATGAAGGCCTGGAGCATGAATGAAGCTTCTTTAGCACCTCCCCTCTCTTTGATTTGGTGAAGCCATAGAATTAAATCTAAATACTCAGGCATGAGCCATGTGAGTTGCTAAAATGTCCAGTCACTAGTATTTGCTTTCTTTAATATTAGAGGGTTGGAGTGTCCAATTTTGGGATGAGATGCTCAGATCTTTATAGCTCCTATTAGATCCTGGCTCCCATGGGAGTCATTAAAGCTGAAGTTATTAAATGAAAAAGAGCAGGTGTTCTTACTCGGACAGCCTCAGGCAGCACCTTTTGGTATAAACACCACAACACACTTCCAAATAATAGTCAGGTTGGGTGCTAATTTGTGTCAAACCAACACTACCACTTTGTGATTTAAGAATATGTTTGTGTAAGGTTTTGATGAGGAATGGGTGGTCTTTCACAAGCCATTTACAGATCTCCTAGCATATGCATTACAGTGGCACCTTGGTTCTAAACTTAATCCATTCCGGAAGTCCGTTCCAAAACCAAAGTGTTCCAAAACCAAGGTGTGCTTTCCCATAGAAAGTAATGCAAAATGGATTAATGCGTTCCAGACTTTTAAATACAACCCCTAAAACAGCAATACAACAAGAATTTTACTATCTAACAAGACTACTGATCCATAAAATGAAAGCAATAATCAATATAAAAAAAAGAGGTAAAGAGACCCCTGACCATCAGGTCCAGTCGCGGATGACTCTCGGGTTGTGGCGCTCATCTCACTTTACTGGCCAACGGAGCCAGCGTTTGTCCACAGACAGATTTTCCAGGTCATGTGGCCAGCATGACTAAGCCGCTTCTGGCAAACCAGAGCAGCGCACGGAAACACCATTTACCTTCCCACCAGAGTGGTACCTATTTATCTACTTGCACTTTGACGTGCTTTCGAACTGCTAGGTTGGCAGGAGCAGGGACCGAGCAACGGGAGCTCACCCTGTCACGGGGATTCGAACCACCGACCTTCTGATCGGCAAGCCCTAGGCTCTGTGGTTTAGACCACAGCTCCACCCGCGTCCCTTAATAATCAATGTACTGTACTATAAAATAAATAAGACAGTATTGTAGATGATAAAAATTAAAATTACTTTTTTTTCTTACCTGCACGGATGATACTCATTGTTTGGATGGGGGGTATCCATTTCTGCAGTCACACAATCAATCAATCTATCAGTAGCTGAACTGGGTTCCACACAGTCACAAAAACAAATTAACCAAAAAAGCCTCAAAAACAAAAATACAAAATAAATAGCAAAAGCAACAGCACCAAACCTAATCCATTCCAGAAGTCCGTTTGACTTCTGAAATGTTGAAAAACCAAGGCTCAGCTTCTGATTGGTGCAGGTACCCCAGAAACAATAGCTGACAACAGCACCAGATGTTTGACTTCTGAAAAACGTTCAAAAACCAGAACAATTCATTCCAGGTTTTCCGCGTTTGAGAACCAAGGCATTTGAGAACCAAGGTACCACTGTATTTTGCCCTTGTGAGGTTCACCAACTTTTTAGATTGGGGGCAAATTTGCAAACTGGGGAAACCATCATGGGCATCACAAACACTGCAACCACACGTGCATCACAACTTACTCTATTGCTTAAAGTTGTGGGTCTGTCATCACTTCCATTTGTTCAGTGATTTCTTACAATTTACATCAGATCAGTAATACTTGTCCAAAATTCTTTTCATTCATATCGTGGCTCAAAAATGTGAAAAATCGCTTTTTACTGCTGTATCGGAACAAACAAAAAACTTCTTAAAACTGGTTCTCTACCTCACACTAATATTTTCCAATGCTCTCTCTTTTTGCACTCATAAAGGCATTGTGTTCAAGCGCATATATCTGAGCAAAAGCAGTTTCCATTTCCAGTTCCAATGTGTGTTGGCTGTGTGAACCCAATGTAAAAGTTGGTAATGACTGGGGAATGTACACCATTAAAATTGCCCCCGCTTCCATGGCTGTTAAGGAGGTTAGGGTCGTGTGCTGCCAGCACAAATCCTCTACATTAGGGACTATGTGGATAGCATTCCTTTAATGTCAGTTAAAGTAAGGCCAATTTTTCAACTTGCGCTTGTTGGACTCTCTGTTGGGGATTCTGGAGAAACAACAACATGATATTGTGTGCTTGTGCAAAGAAACACAGACCCTCCAAGTGCCTCTAATTTCCAGGGATGTCCCTGATTTAGAGAAACTGTACAGTGGTACCTCTGGATGCGAACAGGATCCATTCCGGAGCCCCGTTCGCATCCTGAGTAGACCATAACATGCGACTGCGCGACTGCACATGCACGGGTCGCGTTTCGCTGCTTCCGTGCATACTCGTGATGTCATTTTGAGCGTCTGTGAATGCGCGAGCGGTGAAACCTGGAAGTAACGCATTCCGCTACTTCCGGGTCACCGCGGAGCGTAACCTGAAAACGCTCAACCTGAAGCATGTTTAACCCGAGGTATGACTGTACTGGCTTCTGATTTGATCCTGGAATGTCCCACTTTCCTTAGGCTGTCCCTATTTTGATAGGAGAAATGTTGGAGGGTATGAAGTTATTTCACCCTTGAGCTCTCTGAAGGCAATCATTCTTTAGTGGGAGAACTGCACCACAAAATTCAGAGAAGCATTTCAAGGGACGCGGGTGGTGCTGTGGGTTAAACCACAGAGCCTAGGACTTGCCGATCAAAAGGTCGGTGGTTCGAATCCCCGCGAGGGGGTGAGCTCCCGTTGCTCGGTCCCTGCTCCTGCCAACCTAGCAGTTCGAAAGCACATCAAAGTGCAAGTAGATAAACAGATAAACCTCCAGCGGGAAGGTAAACGGCGTTTCCGTGCGCTGCTCTGGTTTCGCCAGAAGCGGCTTAGTCATGCTGGCCACATGACCGGAAGCTGTACACTGGCTCCCTCGGCCAATAAAGCGAGATGAGCACCGCAACCCCAGAGCCGGTCACGACTGGACCTAATGGTCAGGCGTCCCTTTACCTTTACCTTTTATACATTTCAAAGAATGGCTAAGTTTCAATTTTCATATTGTTTTGGAAAGTGTAGATTTGATAGATTCAGTTTTAAATGCATACCAAATCAATTTTCTCCAAATGAAGCCCCAGAAATCTGAAAGACAAGAAACAGAAGCCATACTGTTGACCTTGTTGCCCAAATGGTCCTGAAGAAAATAGCTATTGTGACCTACCTTTAAAATTAATGGTCTGCTTCAAGGAAACTAACCTACTATGTGGTGCTTAGACTTGTAATATTCTTCAATGAAAGGAGAAATTAGGGTGGAACAAGCACACCCAAACTTCCAGGATTAAGAAGGGGCAAGTGATCACAAACCAAAGCAGGGCTGTGATTGGAGAACCTTGACTTATGAGGAATACAGTAAATGATAGTCCTTGTGACCAAAGATGCCTTCTGGCTTCTTTGAAAACTGTATAAAAGCTCTCTGCATTGCTTGACACATCCAACAGCTTCTATTGACTCCTCTTGACTTCTCTTCTTCATCAGCTCTCACCGGTAAGTTGGATTTAACTCAACTTTCTTTACAGCTTGTAGATTGTGAGGTGCTTTTTTGTGGCGGTGTTTGTAAAACAAGTTTACTTGCTCTTACACTTCTCAAAATGACCATCATTTTATGAGGTCCCTCTACCTTCCATAAATGATCAACACCTGCAGCTTCATGAACCAATGAAGCACCAGCTCTTGGGTCCAGTTTGTGCTAGGACAATGTCTCAGCTTTTTCTGTAGATGTACAGTGGTACCTCGGGTTGCATACGCTTCAGGTTACAGACTCCGCTAACCCAGAAATAGTACCACGGGTTAAGAACTTTGCTTTAGGATGAGAACAGAAATTGTGCTCCAGCGGTGCAGCGGCAGCAGGAGGCCCCATTAGCTAAAGTGGTGCTTCAGGTTAAGAACAGTTTCAGGTTAAGAATGGACCTTCGGAACAAATTAAGTACTTGACCTGAGGTACCACTGTACTTGCCTGTCTTCCAAGGTGGAGATCTGGGACTGCATCCAACTAAGTCCTACTCAACATAGACCTGTTGAAATGAATGGACTTAAGTTCAATATGGCCCTTGGTTCCAAGGGGTCAATTCTGAGTAAGTCTCACATGCATTGGCGTATTCATTTTTGTTCTTCACATCTCGTTCCAGGCTAACCTTCAACTTCTCCAACATGGTGTCCTGTTGTCTCCCATCTTGTGCCATTCCCTGTGGACCCATCTACCCAGTTAGCAGCTGCCAACCCTGCTGTTCTCCATCCTGCGTCATTCCTTGTGGACCCATCTACCCAGTTAGCAGCTGCCATCAACCCTGCCATCAACCCTGCTGCTCCTATCCATGTGGACCCATCGCTCCACTGTGTATTCAACCTTCCTGCCAGTCTTCCTGTTCTCCATCCTGCGTCATTCCCTGTGGTCCCATCTACCCAGTTAGTAGTTGCCAGCCTTCCTGTATCTCATCGTGCCTGCCATCCTGTGTCATTCCAAGTGGGCCCATCTATCCAGCTAGTAGCTGCCATTCTTCCTGCATCCCAATCAGTATCTGCAATCCCTGTTGTTCTCCTTGCTAAAGCGTCAAGGGACAACCCCCCGGTACACAATCCTGTTGGGAATTGGGAAAAAATATGGTACAGATTCATGGCTAAGCTTATGGGTATAGGGTACAGGTGCCAAAAATGCTAAGCTTTCACAGTTCTAGCTGAGGTTGGTTCTGTGCCTGCACAGCATATTTGAGACTCAGTCCCTGCATTGATGTTCTTTCACCCTTTATTTTCTGGAAAAATCCGTTTGCTAGCTTTAAAGATGGCTCTCTTTAACCAGGGAAGTGTGACACATTGTGGTCGGTTTTCCCTGCCAAAGGAGTTCTGTCTGCATTCCCATTGCAAGTAGTAGATTCAGTTCACCCACTGCCCCCGTCTCTTCATTGTTTTCTATGTGGTATCTTCTTGAAAACTGCAAATGGTCTTGGTCTGTTCACTTCATGCTTGTTTCTCAATAAAGTCTACTCTATGCAAGGAAATATTTGTCTCCTGGTCTCTTTTAATTCCTTTGTTATAAAACTCAGCAACAACAGAGTCCACCAAGTCTGAGGAATAGATTAATGCAGAGATGTTACTCATCTCTGACTACTGACCGTGCTGTCTGGGGCTGATGGGAGATGGAGCCCAGCAATATAAGAACAGAGGTAACTGCCTTATGCTGAATCAGTCCTTGGTCCATGTGACTCAGAATGGTCTGACTGTAGCTCTCCAGAAATTCAGTCTCCCCCAGTCCCATCTGGAGACCCCAATAATTCAATGTGACATTTTCTGCAAAGAAGAAGAAGAAGAAGAAGAAGAAGAAGAAGAAGAAGAAGAAGAAGAAGAAGAAGAAATTATTTATACCCCAACCATCTGGCTGGGTTTCCCCAGCCACTCTGGGCGGCTCCCAACAGAATTAAAAGCACAATAGAACATCAAACATTAAAAACTTCCCTAAACATGCTCTATCATTGAGCTTCCTCAAAAGGAAGCCTCCCATAGTGCTTTACTTACACTCACATTTTTATTTATATATATAAAAAAACACATTAAAATAAAATAATCCCAATTACATCATCAGGAATAGGTTGACTATTCCTGCATAAATGGCACATATTTGAAAATGTCAATTTAATATTCTGTTTCCTTTGAAGGCAAGAGTGGATTCAGCCTGCCAGATTGTAGGCAGATACTTTTTCTTTCATTCCACCCACCCCAGAACTGGATGTAAGTTGAAGGCACGGTCACGTCTTTTAAAAGGAATGGAGACTGCTCATTTTCAGAATGATTGCAGCAATGGGTACAGTAAGGGAACATACTTTGTAGGGTTGAGGTGGGGAAAAGTGTCATGGCTGGAAAACGTCATCCACCAATAACAACCCTGTTTCCCCTAAGGATTCTGGTCCCCTGCATGGCTAAAATGGGAAATCTCCATTCATTTCCATAGGGAATGGTATAGCTGAGGCATGTCCAACTCACAAGAGAATGTGATCTACTCCCAGTATATATATATATATAAAACCTGCCAGTGATCAGCCCATTGTCACTGGAGAGAGGAGGAGAGCGTGTTTTTTAGGGGGGAGTGCCCAGAGTCGTTGAGCCATGATCCCATGATCTACCAGGATCACCCCGGCCATCTACCTGTTGATCGCAGCTGACCGGTTGGACAGGTAGATAAATCCCTTTAATTGAATGGGATAAATCCTTCCCCCAAATCCCAGCAGTTTTGTAGGGCCAGGGGAAAATAATCCATGTTGATTAAAAGTCAGACCAATGCAGTATCACCTGCGGGATCTGCAGTCTTTCTACCAGACCCTTGCTAGGCATAAATGGTCCAAAGCAGAACTCAACCAGAAAAGTCTCCTGGAGAGGAAGATAGACGAAAGTGCCTCAGCTAAGTGGCGGTCCCAGGGTTGGTCCATGGAAGGCCTAAGTAGGGCTGGCAGAGAACTCCACCTGGAACTCTGGAGGGCCGCCACCAGTCAGTGTAGGTTAGTTATTTATGTATTTATTTATCACCCACCTTTCACTGTAAGGTCCCAGCGTTGGTTACATCATTATAAGGCACCATTAGAAACAATTGTTGAATGATACTGAGCTAGAAAAACCAAGATGGACTAAGGATCTGGCTCACTATAAGGCAGCGGACAGTTTTCCTACCAACTCTTCAGTCTGTATCGACGCTGCACAGAGTACCAAGACAAACAAAGCTGAAAAATGTGGACTCCCTCCGACTAATAGTAAACAAAATAATAATAATAATAATAATAATAATAATAATAATAATAATAATAATAACACATTCTTATTTACATCCCACCCATCTGGCTGGGTTTTAGAAACATTCTATATGATGATGATGATGTCAGCATTGTTAACGAAGGGACGCGGGTGGTGCTGTGGTCTAAACCACAGAGCCTAGGACTTGCCGATCAGAAGGTCAGCGGTTCCAATCCCCACGATGGGGTGAGCTCCCGTTGTTCGGTCCCTGCTCCTGCCCACCTAGCAGTTCGAAAGCACATCAAAGTGCAAGTAGATAAATAGGTACTGCTGGGGTGGGAAGGTAAACAGCGTTTCCGTGCGCTGCTCTGGTTCGCCAGAAGCGGCTTAGTCATGCTGGCCACATGACCTGGAAAAACTGTCTGCAGACAAACACCGGCTCCCTTGGTCAACAAAGCGAGATGAGCGCCGCAACCCCAGAGTCATCCACAACTTGACCTAACGGTCAGGGGTCCTTTTACCCTCTACCAACAAAGGTGCATACATCGGTTTGTGTATTAGATTTTGTTTAATGAATAAATATGCTAAATATATTAATGGTGTATTTAACTACATAATTATTTACCATGCCCAGATGTGTTGCTGTTGCGTATGATGCCTGGACAGGGCACGATTGTTTGCAACATCTGGTCTTTGCGTAGTCACATGAGCTGGGTATGTGGTGGCTCCTTCTCCTCCCTCTGCTGCTGCTGTGGAGAGGAAGCAGCCCCTGGACCATGGCTGTGGCAGGAGAAGGAGGAGGTGGAGGAGCCACCGCCCGTGGAAGCCAAGCTGCCACGTGACGCCTGGATGTCACGTGCGACAGTGTTGCATGACATCGTGACACCACCTGTGATGCCAGGACGCAACGTTCTGATGTCATGATGTCATGCACAACGTCAACCCCCCCCCCCAGTATCTTCCCGGAGTCAGTGTGTCTGGTTAGACCTCCCTGTCCTAAGTGCTAGAGGTGGTGGTCTGGGCCACATTCCTGGATTGATGGAGCCATGCTGCTGGTCAACCTCCCCAGAAGAGGCATGCTGGAGCCACAGTTGATAAGTGCTCACAAGACTATAGCAAGGGTGGGTGGGTGCAGTAGGTGCAGTCTGCCCCGGGTGTCCCCACTGAGGGGGGTGACAAAATGGCGGGCGGCGCCAACTGCGGGGCCTGCCGTGTGCCCAAACCATGTGTCTCTGGTGCCTGCAGACTCCACACTGTCCGCCCACTGCCTCTCCCCCAACTGTAGGGCAGCTGAGGCCCCATGGCACGCCCTGTCCCTATGGGTGTGATGCGCCCCATCCCGTCCTTATGGGCACTGCCCGTCCCGTTCCTATGGGTGCCATGCAACCTGTCCTGCCTCTATGGGTGGTTTGCCCTGCCCCAGGTGCCCAAGAGGCTTCCTCTGCCACTGCTACTAGTCAGGTTAAATAGAAGGAGGCAACGTTTTGTGGTTCGCCTCAGTTGCCAACATGTCTCAGGCTTTCTAAAATATTTTCTAAAATTGGGACTGAAAACAAAATGGCAGCCAATGCAGCAGAGTAGTCAAAATGGTTCCTTTCGGATAACTCCGGAATCAGGGGCATAAGGTCTCTGCATACCAGTTGCTAAAGATCACAAACAGGAGAGTGATTCAGCTTCTGCTTGTGGGTTTCCCAGAGTTGTCTTGTGTGCATGAGAAGGTGGCACCACTGTGGGCTAAACCACTGAGCCTCTTGGGCTTGCTGATCAGAATGTTGGCGGTTTGAATCCCCATGATGGGGTGAACTTTGGTTTCCGTCACGGTGTCCCGTTGCACCAGAAGCGGTTTAGTCCTGCTGGCCACATGACCCAGAAAACTGTCTGTGGACAAATGCCAGCTCCCTTGGCCTGAAAGCAGAGATGAGCGCTACACCCCATAGTTGAATTTGACTTGACTTAACCATCCAGGGGTCCTTTGCCTTTACCACAATGAGAACAGAATGCTGGACTAGATCAGCTTATGGTCTGATCCTGCAGGGCTCGTCTTATGTGTCTGAGAAAGAGAAACCCCGTAACTTGTTTAAGCCAGCCACTTGGGTTAGCAGATGTGTGCACATGATTAACATTTTTTTTTTAGTACAGACCCTCTGTATATTTTTAGGATGTTAATATCTGCAACACTTTTGATGCTGCCGTGACCATTGTTGAACTCATGCTATCCACCTTTTGCTGGTTTTATGTTGTATTAGCTTTATAAAGTTTTAGAACCTGATCTCAGTATTTGGTATGTTATGAGCTGCCCAGAAAACATTCATAACTGGGTGACACAGAAGCCTTGAGAAAGAAGGAGAAGGAGAAGGAGGAAGAGAATCAAGGTTCCAACAGGGGGGAAAACCCAATTTATTCCCAATGGCAGGATTTGGGTATTTTTGTGCAGAAAACAGAAAGTGGCATTCTTTGATTCAGGGCAGATTAAAGAAAGTGCTCCATGCAGTGTGTGGTTAAACAAAGAAACTCTTTCACACAGAAGGCAGTGATGGTCACTAACTTGGATGGCTTTAAGAGAAGATTGGACAAATTCAAGGAGTCCTGCCTGGAGGTTTCCCACTGGCTAATTTTGGCTTAATTTTGGCTTCTTGTTGGCTAATTTGAGAACAAGTTGCTGGACTGAATGAGCCACTGACTTTTCATCTGTTCTTGGATGAATTTAGAAGATAAGCCCAGTAGTCAAATATTTCCATGCAATACAGTAGATTTTATTGAAAGAGAAACATGGAGAAAACAGGTTGAATACACTTTCAGTTTCAACAGACCACCAAGCAGAAAAACGAACAGTTGTTGTTTTGTTTTCAATGAATGCACCAGAAAATTGTAAAAAGAACATATAACTAAAGTTTACTCAAAGCTAAGGAAAATGAGACTAGAATTGGGGTCCTTGTATTTATTTGTATTCCCCACCCTTAGCCACTAAAGCCAATTATGACATAGATAGTCTTCGTATGCAGTTCAAATTTCATCGTCAAATTAGTCACTGGTCTGATTTTTCTTTTGGGGGCGGGTGTGCACACAAATTTGCAGCTACATCTTAAACCAAATGAATTACTGGACTTACACTATGGGTTGCCTCTAAGTAGATCCATTGGAAATAATGGTCTTAGGTTAATCCTGTCCATTAATTTCAATGGGTCTAAAGATACCAAGGGTAGCCATTAGATGTGTGGAACTATGACATGAAAGGAGCTTTGCAAGGATGAGCAATGTTTCCTGTATCTAGAGTTGTGAGAATGTATCCATTGTTCTTTTTGAAGGGAGGTTTGGCTTTTTAAAAAGTCACCTGGACTCCTGCTGAATAGAACTAGCATCACAGCCAGAAACGGATTTGTTTCCAGCAAGAAGCAAAATGTTAACACCAGTTATCAAAGGAGTCATAGAAACTGGAGTAGACCTTAGATAGAACTGTGAAAACTCAGCACTTTTGATACCCCATGTATCCCTTGATAGTCCCACTCAGAGTGAAATCAATGAAAATAATGGACAGGACTTAGGTCCAATATTTTCAATGAGTCTACTCTCAGTTGAACTTCTTTGGATGCAACCCATACACTTAGCCATGAATCTGTACCATAATATTCAGTTTCCGATGTAATTGTCTACCAGGGAAGCTGCCCCATGGCGTTTTAACAATGGGATCAGCAAGGAATGCAGGATTGGCCACTGGCTGGGGTGTAGCAGGGCTGGCAGCTGCTAACTGGATAGACGGGTCCACTTGGAATGACACAGGATGGGAGGCAGGATTGATGGCAGATGCTCACTTGATGGACAGGTCCACACGGAACGGAGCAGACTGGGACACTGCAGGGTTGGCAGCTGCTAACTGAATAGGTGGGCCCACATGGAACGGCACAGGACTGGACATGGGCAGGCTGGCAGCTGATAATCTGATGGACAGGTCCACATGGAATGGAACAGGATGGTTGGCAGCTGCTAACTGGATAGGTGGGTCCACAAGGGACAACACAGGATGGGACAGTGCAAGACTTGACAACACTGGGCTGGACACACTGTGGCTGACAGCTGCTTGCTGGATAGATGGGCCCACATGGAACGGCACAGGACTGGACATGGGAAGGCTGGCAGCTGATAATCTGATGGACAGGTCCACACGGAATGGAGCAGGATGGGACACATGAGGGCTGGCAGCTGCTAACTGGATAGGTGGGTCCACAAGGGACAACACAGGATGGGACACTGCAAGACTTGACAACACTGGGCTGGACACACTGTGGCTGGCAGCTGCTTGCTGGATAGATGGGCCCGCATGGAACGGCACAGGACTGGACATGGGAAGGCTGGCAGCTGATGATCTGATGGACAGGTCCACACGGAATGGAGCAGGATGGGACACATGAGGGCTGGCAGCTGCTAACTGGATAGATGGGCGCACATGGGGTGGTGCAGGATGGGACACTGCATGACTTGACCCCACAGGGATGGCCACAGAGAGGAACTGCGTAGGATGGGGAACAGCAAGACTGGCCACAAGGAACAGTGCAGCATGGACCAGAATAACAGGACACCATTTTGGAGAGGATGGAGGTGAGCCTGAAAGAAGACGAGACTGAATAAAACCAAAATCTTTTTGAAACTAGAAATAAAACAATTTCAAATTTAAAACTAGAATCTAAAAGAACGCAAATATTTCATATAGTGCAATCACATCTTACACATGTCTAACTTACGCAATTTCAGCCACACACAGTGAAGGCAGACCGGTTGAAATTGTACGAGTTCAATGTAAGCAAGGTGGAGATCTTAAAGCTCATTTTGGGTCAGGCCTGCTTGGGTTACTTGGCGCAAAAAGAGATTTCAAGCTCTCTGCCTCGCTTGCAGATCAAGGCCTGCTTGGCAACATAGCTAAAGGCAAGTCTACCGAATTTGCACTTGTCGGAACAACACACGAACTGGAACACATCCATCTTTCAAAGTTTGCGCTTCTCCAAATTTTGCAATGCAAAGTAATGTGGACCAAAATGCATATACTGGGATAAAAATGCACATATTCCTGAAAACAACACGCAAATGCATGACATTAAAGGATTGTTTTCATATATTGGGGAAATTTACATACAAAAATGTGTGTTTTGGAAGAAATTTGCACTAAAATGCTAACGAATTTTCACGAAGACATTTTTCTTGTATTTAAAGCAAACAGGTGTGGAAATGTGGAGAAGAGAAGGTTGGGAAAATGAGTCAAGAGAAGCCAGTGTAGAAATAGTTCCAGGCCCCTTCCTTTAAATATATAAATCCAACTTACCGGCAATAGCTGAAGTTGAGAAGTCAAGAGGAGGTGAGAGAAGCTGCTGGAAAGAGCTGAGTAATGCTGACAGCTTTTATAAAGATCTCACTGGGAGCCTGAGGGATATGAGGTGGCCCAGGACATTCATTATACTTTTCATAAGCCAAATGGCCACATTTGCCAGCCTTTCGTGTTTTGTGATCATACGCCCCTTCCTAATCCCATTGTGGATTCCACCCTTTCATTGGATAATATTACAAGGATAATTGGGACATTTCATCAGTCAGAGGTCATTAAGTTACAGATCATTTGTATTAGCTATTAATTTCCAGGGTCATTCTTTACAGTACGCCTAGTAAAATGGCTCCCTGTCCTGCAGATTATAGATGCTCATTTGGAGAAGTGGGGAATTTGGGGCTCTCGGATTTCACTGGCGCCTTGTGTGACCCTAACATTTGGCACCCCCTGCCTCTTGCGCTCTGTTCCACAGCATTGATGCGGTTGCCCCTGAAGTGTGGCACCCAGTGCCACCACACTGCTTGTTCCACCCTAAAACTGCCTCTGTTTGAAGGTGGAGGATGGGTTTTCCCCCCATACAACAGAATCAAGCTGCTGTGATGGCCTGGGACTCGGGCTCAGGCTCAGAACCAGAGGAGACTCAGTCTGCACCGGATCCTTTGCCTCAAGCATCATCTGAACCATGTCTGGGTCCTGATCCTGAAGAGTCCCAGTCTGCACAGGTTCCCTTGCAACAAACACCAGCTGGGCCGAGTCAGGGCCTGAGCCTGCCCTGGCTCCAGATGCGGGAATGACCTCGTTGCCTCCAGCTGGACCATCACTTACAGCTGCTCCACTACCGGTTGGGTCAGGGGAGGCTGAGGTGGCCCCTGGGTCTAGTAACCCACCAACATCTCCCAAGCTGAAAAGACTAAGGTCTGAGAGAAGGAGAGACCTGAGTACTCGCAGGAGGAGTGCTCGCCTTCAGGTGAAACAGGGAGGTGAGTTGCCGGGGGATCAGGACCGGCCGCTACCCTGACAAAGATAAAAGGCTGTCGGACCCCGTCCCAGGTTGTGGGAGCAACATTGCTGTATGCTAGATCCTGCCTGAGATCCTGTACCTGTCCTTGTCTGGTTTCCTGCCTCGTGTCCTGCCTTGGCCCTGTCGGACTGACTCCTAGCGCAACCTTCAGATTCTGGACCAGTCGTGGACTGCATTTAATGGGTTACCCCCGGGCCCAGCACAGCTACATACAGTGGTACCTCTGGTTATGAACTTCAGTCATTCCAGAGGTCCGTTCTTAAGCCGAAACCGTTCTTAACCTGAGACGCGCTTTCGCTAATGGGGCCTCCTGCTGCTGCCGCGCCACCAGTGTGTGACTTTCGCTCGTATCCTGGGGCAAAGTTCGCAACTAGGGGCATCTACTTCCGGGTTAGTGGAGCTTGTTACCTGAAGCATTTGTAAGGAGGACGGTACGTAACCGAGGTTCCACTGTAATTCTCTCTGTGTGTTCAGATATTTGGAGATGGCTATCGTATCACCTCTGAATCATATATACAGAAGATGTGACCAGAAAGTTTGGTGAATGGTCACAGAAATCGGACAGCGAGAAATATTTGAACATACATACCTTACAGGCCTTCAAAGGAGGCCCCCTCTGATACAACACACCATTGACAACATTCGTAGAACTGTTGGAAACTTCTAGAGAAGTCCTCTTTTCGTACTGCTTTCAGTTCCCTTGTCGCAGCAGCTTGGACATGTGAAATGTTGGGAAATCTGTGCCCTTTCAGTGTAAATTTCAGTTTTGGAAAAAGAAAGAAACCCCTGGATGGTTAAGTCCAGTCAAAGACCACCATGGGGTTGTGGCGCTCGTCTCGCTTTCAGGCCGAGGGAGCCGGCGTTTGTCCACAGACAGCTTTCCGGGTTATGTGGCCAGGAGGACTAAACTGCTTCTGGTGCAACGGGACACCGTGATGAAAACCAGAATGCACGGAAACACCATTTACCTTCCTACCACAGTGGTACCTATTTAACTACTTGCGCTGGCATGCTTACAAAATGCTAGGTTGGCAGGAGCTGGGACAGACCAATGGGAACTCACCCCATCACGGGGATTTGAACTGCCGACCTTCTGATCGGCAAGCCCAAGAGGCTCAGTGGTTTAGACCACAGTGCCACTACATTACACTAAAGTAATGTCCTATGCTTTGTGACTTATTGAAACATTTATTATTATTTCCTTCAAAATCCCATGGATGAACTCATAAATTTATGCCAAAGTGCAACTTTTGTTCTTGTTTGTTTTAGTACTTCAAACATGGCCCTTGAAGACAGGAAAGACAAACACCCGGTCCTTGTGCAGGTGCCATGAGGACAAACCTTTCAGTGTGCAATAATAATAATAATAATAATAATAATAATAATAATAATAAATAAATTTATTATTTATACCCCACCCATCTGGCTGAGTTTCCCCAGCCACTCTGGGCAGCTTCCAATCAAGTGTTAAAAGCAATACAGCATTAAATATTAAAAACTTCCCTAAACAGGGCTGCCTTCAGATGTCTTTTAAAGATAGGATAGCTGCTTATTTCCTTCACATCTGAAGGGAGGGTGTTCCACAGGGCGGGCACCACTGCCGAGAAGGCCCTCTGTCTGGTTCCCTGTAACCTCACTTCTCGCAGTGAGGGAACCGCCAGAAGGCCCTCGGCGCTGGACTTCAGTGTCCAGGCAGAATCATGGGGGTGGAGACGCTTGGATTGGAATAATAGTAATGCTAAAAATAATAGCAACCTGGATTTTCGTGCAAAGTAGCTATTCCTTAGAAGTTTTGTGTGGTGTCTTCAAGAAAATCTGCCCTCTTGAGTACCCAGAAGCACTTGAGTAAGAACATCTGGCATTTGCCAGGCTATAACTTTGGCCTTAATTACTATTAAGGCAGCCAAGCATTAATTTCAGCAGCACATTCATTGAGACTCAGTGCTTTCCCCTCACCTTCCTCCTTAAATTGCAACTCTCTCCCTCTAATATTCAGGAAAACAGCCCTCCTGCCATTTAACAGCTCTGGAGAGTTGCAACCACACATTTATATTTAATTCTATGGCTTCAGCAAACCAGAGAGTGAAGACAGGACAGAGAAGGTGTAGACCCTGTGTGCAGCAGCTTCGAAAAATCCAAATTCCCAGCAAGGAAGAATGAGCAAAGGAACTGAAAATAAGACTGCCAATATCCTACTGCGTTCCTCTGATCTCAATTCCTCTAATAGTAAAACCTAAAGCAACTTACTATTGTAACCAAAATAGTATCCCTGCACAGGGAACTGAAGAGAACTCAAATAAGCTTGAGCTGCTCCATCAAAGGGCAACAAAGTCTTGGCGAAGAATTTGGAAGAGACATCTAGGAATTTACCACTGCAAGTGCTACAACCATCTAATGAAAAATCTGACTTCCCAAGAACAAACCCTCTGAAGACCTCTGCAGACACCCCATCCCCTATAATACATTCATCTCACTCTCATTCTATGGAGGCCTCACTCCTAATACTGCCCCACATAATAAGGGTTCACAAAATCTTTGAACTTCCAACGACATGGGGAATGATCAAAGGGTTGAGTTTGGGGTAAGTGGTAGTACTTATACTCACCCCAGTGGTACAGGACGAGAGGGGGTGTGAGGATACCCAGAGCTTACAGAGTTAACAGCTCAAGGGGAATGATGTCCTGTCACTGGGGTGTGTGTGTGTGTGTGTGTGTGTGTGTGTGTGTTCGCATACGGGTATTGTACTTTGTTGTTGTTTTTTTAATGATATTTATTGAGAATTTTAAAATTAAAAAAAAACAAAGAGAAAAAGAAGGAAAAAACAAGAAAAAAACAAATAACAATTAAACAATACAAATCGATAAAAGTCAAAATCAAAAAGCAAAAACAAAACACATAGCACATCAAAATCAAAAAGCAAAAATAAACCACAAAGATTTAAAAACAGATCCAATATTCCCAAATCCTTAACTCTCATTACCTTATTTCATCGACCTCCTCACACCTC